TCAACAGCAGCAACAACAACGGCTGGAAGTAGCGGCACGTGCTGCGTGCAGCGCTTTAACTGAAAACGCTTTTCCAATCAGACAAGCACAACAACAAGAACAGTTGGAAAAATCTTCAATTGGCAGCAACGGGGTCTCGTCTCGTTTGAAAATTGCATTTGCACCAACTGCAACAGCAACAGCAACATTAACAACAGCATGAGCAACAGCTGCAGCTGCATAATTGAATTGGTGGCAACATGTGGCAAGAGTCGTATGGTACGGCTGCCAAATGTTCTCGCTGCAGCTGCAACCGACTCGGCTCACAGACTCGCCGACTAGCCGATTCTCTGACTGGCTAGTTAATGGCCAGGCGGGACATAAAACAGTTCATATCGGAAATAAAACAGACCATAAAGCCGATTAAGCGCGACACTCGCTCAACTGTTTTTCCTGCTGCTGCTGCTGCTGCTTTTTTGTTGCTGTTGCTGTTGCTGTTGCTGTTGTTGGTCGCTCTGACACGCCATTATCTTATTATGCCTGACACACACACAGAAAATGCCAGAGGGAAGCGAAGTAAGCAGCAGAAACACACACGTGCGGTGACTAGTGCAGAATTGTTGCTGCTGTTGTTGTTGCTGTTGCTGTTGCTGTTGCTGCTGGTGCTGTTGCTGTTGATGCTGCTGCTGTTGTTGCTGTTGTTTCTGGATGTATGTTTGTCTGATGTGTAATTTAAAATTACACCGATGCTGCGGCACGTTGCAGTCACACACACTTACGGCCACTGAAGCAGCTATTTTCGAGGGTAGCTTCACAAGTTTGTACCATATACCGAATAACTCCCATTAATGTGCTCATATAATATAATGTATAACATAATATAATAATGTATATTGGATTATTATGAAACGAGATTACGCTTTCCAATGAAATAATTAAATAATAGTTTCTTAAGTTGTGTTTTGCATTTTAAATATAATTTTAGACGCCTCTTTATAGTCTGATATTATAGACAATGATTCGAATGATTCCTATGACATTAATTAAAATTGGTGTCTATAAACTCAAGGGGGTTGGTTGATGTTCATGGCAAATATCTAATAAAAAATTAATTTTTACAATTTAATACTATTGCTCGATGCAATTATGCTCGCTAACTTTTCATTCGACACATTTCGATCACAGTTGAAGCTTCATGTGTAATGAAGCAGCTGACGCAGCAAGTTGCAAAAAACTTTTTACTGTGAAGCACAAACACACACACAGCCATCGAAATACGTGCGAGTGTGCGAGAGTATTGCACGTCCTTTGTCTGAATGTGTTTGATGCCATTGCTGTTGCTGTTGCTGTTGCTGTTGCTGTTGCACAGGTGTCGTCGCCAGTAATCTCTTTCAGGCGCGTTGGTGGCGGACGCCACTTGTGCATAATGACGCTTTCCGCAGAGCCAAATACAAAGCTGGACTGTGTGTGTGTGTGTGTGTGTGCGAACTGGACTCGTCCACGTGGTCGTCATTGACACACACACGGGTAGCATGTACGTGAACTGGCAGCTTACAGCTAAAGCACATGCAGCTGTGCTGTGATTTCAAACCAACGAGTCCCAGGACAACGAGGGGCAGCGCCAGGACGCAGTCCCAGAGCCAGAACCACAGCCAGACCCAGACCCAGACCCAAGCCCAGACCCAAGCCCAGATTCCATCCCCCAGCTACGACGCCCAACTCGTAGGCATCAACCCTTCTCGGCTGTGGCTGTTATTGTTGTTGTTGTCGTTGCTGTTTTTGTTGCTGTTGTTATTACAGTTGGCGAGCATTTTCGTTAAATCTGCGAGAGCAACTGCTGCTGCTGAAGCTACTACTGCTACTGTTCTTGTTTCTATGTGTTGTTGTTCTTGGCAAAAAGGATAAAAGTGTATAGTGCCTTGCTGTCCAGCCACATGGATATGCTGGCCTTTTTTATATGAATTAAATGAATGTCGTTGAATTTTTTATGATTTGTGTTGCGCCTAATTGAAAATTATGTGCGAGCTGTTGCTGCTGCTGCTGTTGCTGCTGCTGTTGCTTTTAATTTGTCATTGCTTTGGCAAACGGCTTGCCTAATAGTTGCCACGCCCCGCACACGTCCAGTGGCCCGAAAACGGCTTCGCCTTGCAGCCGTTTAAATAATTACTTTTTCTTTTAGCAATTTCGCCAGCAGCCGGTTGCCATCGCCAGTGCCAGCGCCAGTGCCAGCGCCAGCAGCTGGCTGCCTGTCCCAGTCTTTGCTCCAGCCCCGTGCCCCACACTGTGCAAGTTTTGTGGCAAAAGTTCTGCGGGCGACATTTTCCATTTTGCTCAAACTGAAGCTCAAGCTCAGGCGCTTTGAAGTGCCTGGGACCCAAACGTAGGTGTGTGTGTGTGTGTGTGTGTGTGTGGAGGGGTTGGGGTAACAACACAAGTTGAAGCTTTGGTCGCCTGATGGCGCCGACAGGCGACAGCTGCTTGAGAGACGACGACGATGACGACACGGCTGCTGCTGACATTTGATTCATTCGTCATAGCCTGGTCCTATGCTTTGCCAGCAGCTGCAGACAGCCAGCCAGCCGAGCTATTAAATGAGTCAGCCCACTTCCATATCCACCTCAGACCGCCCCCTCGCTACGCCCACTTACCTGGCGCACACTCAAAACACTTGTTGTTGCCGACTGTCACGCATGTTTCGTTTTGTTAGTTTCGGCATGCCTCGTCTCGCCTCGCCTCGCTCACTGGCCAAACAGTTGACAAGTGTTATAGACGCCATATGCCGGCTGAATCTGTCATTAGTCCTCCATCGCCGCCCTCCTCCATCCTTCCCTCTCTCCAAGTTGCCCCTCTTTTGTCGGCACTTTGGCAAGCGGCAGCTGCGTGTCAAGTGTTTGTTTTTAATAGAATTTCATTTGCAGCATTTTTAATAATTTGCCTGATGCGAAACAGCTGTCCGCCAGCTTGTGCTCTCTCTGTCTCCCTCCCGCGCGCTTTCTCTCTCGCTCAGAGAGATCTATCTGTAATAACCCCTGCTAGTGTAAATATTGCCAAGTACGACGATTGACTTTAAACATTGCCCCAAAAAAAAAACGAACAAATATTTTTTGTACACCTCAGAGTGAATTGGCGCTTGGTTGGAGACAAGGGGCGGGGCTCGCGTAGATTGATCGAAAACATGAATGAAAATTAGCAGATTTTTTCTGAAATGTTTTTTTTCTTGTTTTTGTGTTTTTTTTTCTCTCGTTTCTTTTACGCTTTTGTTTATGCAGCCGACAAGCTGCACAAACTCCCACAGCTCGCCCAGGTATTTACATATTTTAGTGATAAAAATCAACAAATTCTCTCATGCTCAACCGACATGGGGCGAGCAATGGGCAACCGGACATGAAAACGAACAAGTGCGTGCCAAAAAGGGGTCCATATGGTGGGCGCTCCACACTAAACTGGGCCACAGCGGGAGCGAGGGGTGTGGTTGCTTGAATGGACGGTAAGTTCCGGCCGTATGTTCGTGCTGTCTGCATGTTGCAAGCGGGCAATTGTCTAAAAATTGTGTGTGTTTGTTTGTGCTTGGTGCATTACATTATCGAACGGTCAATACTAAAGTGCTTCAAAAGGTGTTTCTATCAAGAGAATTAAGTTTTGTTTAATTTGTCGAATTTCAAGACTTTTGCTTACGGGTTTCATACAATGCCTAGACTCCTTAACTGTTCCACTGCTTATCTTTCCCATCTTATTTTTTAAGACTGCTGGGACAATTTTGATAAACTTGAATATATTTTTAGTTTGTATTTACTTAAAAAGAGAACCCAATTCCATATATCTTCGATTCTTTTAGTTCTTTTTTTTGTAATTCTTAAATCAGTATATTTATGTCATGATATGAATTTCAAGTTCTTACTCTCTACGATTTTTTAAACTTATTTTTATATTTATCCACGAATTATATTAGTTTTGTGCAATGTTTGGTCTATGAGATTCTCTGTATATTAAAGAAAATGATAGATCTATGACCATAAGGAGCGTGGATCTGACTGTATATAGTATTTTGTAGAAATCTGTTTTATGTTGAGCACTGTTCGTGGTCGAAACTTGAAATTTGGAATAAAAATTTATCAGAATCTACGCACGTAGAGGCGTGGCAAGATTCAACAGTCTAAAAACTTAAAGAAATTATGGAGCTACTGTTGAACTCCCCTTTCGATGCATCAAGAAATGATATGCCCTATAACGCCCTAAGCTCTATAACGCCTTGGAGGTGTGTCCAATCGTGTCCAATTATGCAGTAGTAGTAGTACCCGACTGCACATTCTTACAGGCTACTAGGAACCATGCAACCATTTATATTTAAATGCAGCAATTTGTAAGATAAATTGCGAATATTGCTCAATTAGTCAGGCATAAACAATTGCAAGCCATTCAAATATGCCTTCGCTATCAACAATATTCGCTGTGAAATTTCTTTGTGTGAGCTTCTGATAGGTCCCAACTTGGATTTGATTTAAGGGCTTTATTCTGTTGTGTATATCTGTGTATATTGCTTCACATTCTGAATTAATTCTAACTCGAACATTACCAATTCCAATAGTTGGCTGCAAATTGCTTATTGGGGCTTGCCAAATAATTTTGTATGCGCTGGAAATAGCCCAGTTGCAGCTGCCCCTAATGAGACTCGCTCCCAGGCCCAAGCGTATACACTCACACACACATACACACACACATTGACGCACATATACATGCTGACAATACTCTAGCAACTGTCAGGGCCTAACAAGGACCTTGGGTTTGGTGAGCCCAATTTGCATGTCAGAGAACAATTTAATCAAATTGAAATCAAATAATTTGAAATCATAATGTGAGAACTTTGTCACTTGATGTTTTCGTAGGCACATGGGAACCTGTACAGGTTTCGCTTGTTTATAATTACAAACTGTGGAGCTTTTTATTGTGGTTGTTGTTGCTGTTGGGGGCAACAGCAACGTCAGAATGCTTAAGTTTATTAACTAATTTGCGACTATTTCCAGATGGCGCTCGATGGTAAAGCGATAATTAAGGAGGAGATCACCGAGAAGGACGCCTACGACGCGGCGGCAGCGGCAGCGGCAGCAGCAGCAGCAGCGGCAGCGGTATCAGTGGCTACATCAACAGCTGCCTCATCCGCGTCATCGTCAGCGTCCTCTTCAGCAGCAGCGGCGGCGGCGGCGGCAGCCAACACATCAGCAACTGCGGCTGCAATTAGTCGACGGTTTAAAGGTGAGTGGCTTGTGGACTACATATGTGCGAGCTGAGGGGGAGGCAAGTGCGTATGTGAATGTATGTGTGGGAATGGCAGACATTAAGGCGTTTAATTGGGACTTGTGAGTTGGGATTGGGAGCACAAGTGCAGCCAAGCGACAGCCCCGACGATTGATGGTGTGAATCGCAGCAGCTGTGTGTATGCGTGGGTGTGTGAACATGGGCATGGGTGTGAATGTCGGGGCTAAGCAAAACAAAAACAACAAACCGAAATTTGTCGGCAGCTAGAGTTCTACAGCAGTGCGGGCAACCACTTTTGAACCAGAGCTAACTAAATGTTCAAATCACGTTTGCATGTTGCAGTCGGGCGCAACCAACTTCGTAATACTCGCTTACGTCACAGCAAAGCAATTAAATACTTTCGGAATCCATATCTGATGAATGGTTCTGCAATCCCATTTTCTAGCTATATCTTTTTCACGTTTACCACGCTTCAAAGGTGAGTGGGCTCTGTGTTGGTAAATAACTAGAGCGAGAGAATTTGAATTTTTACATTACACAAAACCAATGTACTCTCTTCACTTCGTGAGCAAGCATTAGTAGTTTGGTTCATACTGTCCTATACGTCAATAAATAATATAATTGAATTTATTTTCAATAGTATTTCTTATGATATGCGTTTCTTATGAATAAATTATATGACATTTTCAGCTCGCTCAACATGTTTTTGTTGTGTGTTCCCTAGTATCGTGTAGTCGTAGTGAACTATACCAAATCGGGGTTGCTATTGAGTTTAGGTTTACTAAAGATCGATCTAATAAATCACGAACTAAACACTAGGATTGTGTAGTTAGTCGTCTTAGAATTATTTCGTCTTGCTTTAAGATTAGCATTGATATCGAACATATAAAGATAATAATACAACAATTAAGAAAGCTCTAGTCGGGAGAGCCCGACTAGAAGATACCTCGAGCCCAATACGATCGTTCTTTTTTATATATACTTCATAGTTTATATTGAGCATTACCTTATACAAATTATCGAAATATTCGAGCACTTTCACACTCAATTGGCATGTTAGCCATTGAGAAAAAGCCAGTAAAGAAGCAATCCCGTATTAATAATAATAACTGCTTTTCGATCGGTTACAATAAAACAAAAATAGTTATAGATTGTTTGAAACCAATCTGATGTACGCACGATGGAGATGGACCTACAAAATTAAAGAGTCTCTATACGGACAAATACGCTGGGCTGAATTGAATATATATACTTTATGGGTCAGCCACGCCTAATCCTGCCTGGGTTCAGGGAAAAAGAAATTTATTGTGGCATCATTTATTGAATTTTGTTAATCTGATTGGGCAGGAGATACCTTTGATTGTATATATATAAGATATACCGATATATATAATATCATATGTTTATTCTTTTGAATTAAAAACTTTCATTTTGACTGATCAAAGCTGTGTCTTCATTCAATATCAATTCAAATCGAAAGTTTTCGCTATTTTCATGAAATATATTTCATTATATTCATAAATAAATAAATGAATGTTATTCACTGATATTTTTGAGCGCTTGGCAACAGCCTTCAAGTGCATCAACTCATTTGGCCGTTTGGTTGCTATGGACCGCAGCGGGCAGTGAAATGTTGTGGGTGTTTTTGGGTACGATGCTGGATAGCCAGAGGGTTTTTGCCATTTTCATCATTTTTTGCTTCTTGGACATTAGTCCAAAAAATAACAGCCGCTGTTGGCGTTCCCAGCAGAAACAGCAACAACAGCCTGCATATAGGCAAAAAGTAAAGCCCGCTTTTAGGGGCTGATGAATTGTGTGCTTTCCTTTGATTGCTGCTGCTGTTGCTGCTGCTGCTGTCGTTTTAGTTGTTGTGGCTGTGCGTACCTGCGTCACTTGGTGCGCCAATTCCCAGGCCAATACGGCGAACGTGCGCATGTATGTGTGCTCTGCATTTAAGGCGCTTAAATTCTATGAAACCCTGCTCTCTAATTAGCATTCAAAACTGAAGCTCTTCAAAAAAGTTTTGTTTAACAAATGTTTGCTGTGTTGCAGAGACGCCCACAACAGCAACAGGGGCAGCAGCAGCAACTTCATTATTGCCTGCTGCCGCCTGCTGATGATGATGATAATCACAAACAGCGCATGATGAATATTTGCCAAAATGATTGTTTTCCCAAATGACTATGCCAGCAACAGCAACAGCAACAGCAACAACAGCAACAGCAACAGCAACAGCAACAGCAACAACAGCAACAACAACACTAACTAAACTTGCCAACGTTTCGTTTTGTGCGCTCGACTGCAATCTATGGGACGCAGCTGTGCAAATTCTGTTGCCCGTACACATATACCAGCATACACGCACACTCACAAACACATACATAGACTAGCATTGGCCCACGCTGCGTATACGTAACCTTAAATCGATGGCTGCTGCTGCTCTTGAAACTCACTCATGATGCTGATGTTGCACCAGCCGTTGAGGCTCCCACAATGCCGCATTGCCACGCCCCAAAGCAACACACACACACACACACACAAACTGAAAATGGCCAACATTATGTTTTAGAAAATATATGAATTGTCAACACAAAATTTTCGTAAATAGTTTTTCGTGGCTGAAACATTTTTCGTGCCCAGTCACAGCTGGTCAGCTAACCGCCTCGTCCCCCATCCCCCATACCAAATGCCCATCCATTTGTCCCTTGGGGCACAACTTTGGGTCACTTGCGGTTTTGCGGCCCTAACAAACTTTTAAGCCTCAACCAACTGCAATATTTTACAATTGTACACAGCTAGTTAGATAGCTGTGAGATACTTCGACTCAGTTAGACAGATACATGGCCAGAGCGTGGGCGACACTTTCCTTTTATTTTTTGTTTATACTCTACTATTTTGCCTTGCTTTTTGCATAGCAGCCAATTACAGGGCCCGGCGGCGGCGGCGGCATCATGTGATCCATCATTGTCTATGTTTGGCGTTTGATAAGCCGCCGCCAAGTTAGCTGAGTGATGCCTCCCAACTCAGTATGGCTCTTTCCCTCTCTATCTACATCTGTATGTGTTTGTGTCCCTTCGATTGGCGTGCCTGAATGGCTGTGAAAACACAGCCAGTTGCAGCTGTATCCACAATCATTATCACAAAAGCAAACTACAGCAGCAGCCGCAGCAGCAGCGGCAGCAGCAGCAACAGCAGCAGCATTGACTGGCTGCCATGAACGTCGTCATCGTCATCGTCAACAGCAGCAGCCACAGCAGCAGCACTGGCAACATTTGCACTCACACCAGCCACCCACTCCCACTCCCACTCACACTCACACTTACACTCACATACACACACACATAAGCAATTTCCATTAGCTTGTACAAACAAAGTTTGTGTGTGTTTGGTCGCCAATGCGAAACAGGCGACAAAACATTTGCAAAATGAATAGCCATTTGAGAATTTACAATTAGAAATATCTCAGGTGAGTTGTATAGAGAGTCAGGTAGATCGTGAGATGAAGATATTGCATTGTGTCTAGCAGAATGTCTAACAATAAAGACGTTTCTTAAGAAATTAATTAATTATTTAATTAATTATGATTTTATGACATATATCAAATATTCCACAAATCGCATCAATAATAGATCAAATGCTATCAGTGCTTGACCATCGCTAAACGTCTTTAAACGGCTTTAATCACAGCTCAGTGTATTATAAAGCCGGGTTCGGCTAAAATTACTTTTCTAAAGATCATAAGACACTGTACTCTGACGAGCACAAGCACAACTTAAGGCTTGAGATTGGGTATCTACACTACGATATTTTTTTGCTGGGTTGCGAAAGCAAGTCAGGATAAGATTTTCAACTCTAGATACTGATGTAACCAATGATGCCAATTGCGCCCAGCAGGAAGGAATGCCTCAATTGCATAATGACATTATTATCCAGCTCACTTCATGAACAATATTATGACATCCAAGAAAGGACATTGAGGGGCATTTGAATCGAATCGAATTCGAATCATTAAATAAGGGACAATGACTCACTATTTGAGTGGATCAATCAAACAAGTTTCTAAATATTTGAAAATTACAAAATATATTTTAAAATATATTTTCCATTCTTCGTATCCCATTTTCAATTTAGAAGATATTCAATTAAAGCTCTTAAATAAATACTAAATTAACGATTATTTTTAATTTAACATATTTTGCAAAACCAAATTGAAACATTGCGAGTTATTACAGATATCTTCAAATATATCCATTAAATTTTCTTCCTTATTATAATATTCCATAGTTTTCCTTGTTTTGTTTTTCTATAAAAATTTACTTTTTATATAATTATAATTTTTCAATAATTATCATTGAACACTTTTAAAATAATTGATTGGTTTCCTTTATAGATATCTTTTGCGCATAATGATATTTGACATTGTGAACAGAAATATTATATTTTTTAGTTTTTTTCCAACATAATTTGATATTGAGCGAAATCATTTCCTTTTTATTTGTCGCCTGTAGCCGGCTGCTACACGCCCCATGCCCAAATCGCCCCGCGCTCTGTTTTGACATGAAGCCCGACCAACTCTGCGCTGCGGCTTTTTCGTTAAGCTTTTCAATTTTGAGCTACAGCCGAATACGAGGCTTTGGCAGCAGGATCAGGTCCAGGCACGTTGCACACAGTTGGGCAACATGCGGCCCCAGAAGCCCTGCCACTTCTATGCCTCATATTGCGAGTCAGCTTCCCTTGGCCTCCAATTAGTGCGTGGCACTTGATTTGCTTGCTTGGGTGGCTTATGGGCGCTTGTTGCATGGCAAATGGCACCCAAAAATGTTTGCTAATTTATTTCCCATGTTCAAACAAATTTGTTAATGCCAGTGCAGTGCCCCCCTAGCGATGGGACAGACAAGTGCTGTAGCATGTTTGCGGTCAACAGAAATATATACATATTTTGTGGCAGGGCTGATGTTGCAGCTTCCGAGCTTCCGAGCTGCCCAGCTTCCGAGCTCCAGCAGCGTCTACAACAGCTTCTAATGCATTTGTAATGCGCTTCGCCTGCACATCCTGTGTGTACTCTCTGTGTGTGTCTGAGTACGTGTGTGTGTGTGTGTGTGTGGGTGTCTTGTTTCTCTTCATTGTTTATTGTGAACTAACTAACGAGCTGGCTGCTTCCTTTTCCCTTTTAATCCAACAGCGAACAGCAGCAACAGCAGCAGCAACAGCAGCAGCAGCAACGGCGACAAGAGTTCCACCACCACCAACTCCTCCTCGGCCGGCAGCACCAGCAGCAGTAGCAGTAGCAAAGACATGACCATCACTGGCAGCAGCGCAGTCAGCAGTCAGCAGCTCACGCCTAACGGCACTCGCGAGCGGGAGCGGGAGCGTGACAGAGACCGTGAAAGGGAGCGCGAACGGGAGCGGGAAAGAGAGCGTGATCGTCTCTGTCGCACTCCTCCAGAGTCGCCGCCCGAGCTGGCGCGCAATCTGGCAGCTGCACCGCGCTCTCCCCAGTCACCACCTCAGCAGCTGCATCATCACCAGCGCCCACAGCGCAATGCGAGCGCCTCGCCCGTGGTCAACGGGGGCGCCAGTTCGGGCACATCACCCACGCCGGGCTCACAGCATGCAGCCTCTCTAGCCGCTGCTGCAGCCGCCGCAGCTGCAGCTGCTGCGCATGTGGAACAGGCGCGACTGCTCTCTAAGCTGCGCAAGTTCCTGGGCGCTCTGGTGCAGTTCTCACAGGAGCTCGGACAGCCGGAGGTGAGCGAGCGAGTGCGCGCCTTGGTGCTGTCGCTGTCCAGCAGTAACATATCACTGGAAGAGTTCCGGCTGGCCTTGCAGGAGGCCATCAATTTGCCGCTCCGGCCGTATGTGATGCCGCTCCTGAAGAACAGCGTGGCTCTGATGCAGCGCGAGATTCTGGCCCTGGCTCGCGCCACTAACCAGTCCGCGATGCAGTACGTGACCAGCAACGAGCAGGCTGTGATGGAGCTGACGCCACATGGCGTGGCCAGTGCCGAGTTTGCGGACATATTTGTGCAGCTGGAGGCGCCGGCGGCAGCCAATGGCAATGGTGGGGCACTGTTCAAGCGTCGCTCGTCGGACTCCATAATGGAGCACAGCGCACACAATGGTCTGCAGGAGTGGACCGAGTACATGCCCAATGCCGGCACACCCTATGCGCCGCCCAGCAAGCGCCTGGCCATGCACCCGGCAGCAGCTCATTCGGTACTCGCCTTCGACTACAGCGCTGCGACTACCGCCGGCGAGGTGGCTGTTGCCGCGGGCTTCATGCAGCGGGACGAGCGAGATCTGCGCCTAGCCGAGTCAGGCCAGGGGGCTGGCAGACATGCGCCGCCCCAGGTAGCACGTGGGGGCAATGCTCCTGCAGCGGGCGCACCTGGCGGCGAGGAGGAGTGGAAGAACATACACACCATGCTCAACTGCATCTCGGCTATGGTTGACAAGACCAAGCGGGCCATCACCATACTGCAACAGCGCGGTATAGAACCACAGCATGGCAGCAACAGCAGCCAAGACCTGACACCCGCCGCCATGGCCGAGCTGCGTCGTCAAACCGAGGAGAAGGTTGCCGAATTCAAGCGCAATGCTGAGGATGCAGTCACACAGGTAAGCGACCCAGGCATGGCCAACTCCCCAAACGGGATTAAAGATTGAGATTTATTTATTTTGTGGCAGGTCAAGCGACAAGCAGTCATCGAAATACAAAGAGCTGTAGTCGCGGCAGAGACGCGTGCTGCCGAGATCATGACTCAGGAGCGGCTGCGCATGGAAAAGTTCTTCATGGAGATGAGCCGACATTCCAGTGGAGACCGCGATCTGGACAACAAATCGCCGTCCATAACCAGCGCACAGAATGTAAGTGAAATGTTATCCAAGTCGAAGACCATCAGAAGCCAAATATACAGAATACCCCACTAACAAAATTAATTTCTGTGCTCAACCTAAATCATAAAAAGCAATATTAAAGGCCAAATATTCCGTCCAGGCTATCCTGCATACAATATATAATTTAATGTCTCACATTTATTTTCTGTATGACTAAAGGGGCAGGACAGCTAAAGAGAGGGCTTAGAGCTGTTAAGGGATCAATCATAACAATGTGATGGATCCAGTGGGTGATATCTTCTTAGGCGACAGGTGACGCTGCTATTAACAGGATATTGGCAAGGGAGCTGCCTGCTTAGTCGTTTCGTTTCGTAAGCCAAAAGACTCCGAGCTATGCGAGGATTTCCTTGATTGAATCGGACAGCGTTCCAAGCGCTCTATTTTGAAACATCTGTATAATGTTACAGCTAGAATAGCTGACAGTTCTCCAGCTTGGAGTCCCATATGTACACAAGGGTTTCATTATGGCCATTATGACAAGCCTTTCATTGAGTTCCCTCTGTTTGTCAAGCGAGGTCTCCAGGTTAGGTTTCTGTCAAACATCAGTCCCAAGTATTTCGCTGTCTCGTCTTCTTAACACAAAACTGGTTTGAGCAGATTTCCTTCATATTCCTTCTTACTAGCCAGGTCAGACTGCAGATGCACATAAATTAATAAAAAATCTTTTATTTATTCACTTTATTCACGAAATAAAATAATTTTCAAAATATTTCTTAATTGATTTCATGCACTCATTGCTAAAAACGTTTTTATTTCTCATAGGGCAGCAACTTGCAGCAGCAATGCTGGAACTGCGGTCGCAAGGCCACGGAAACCTGCTCCGGCTGCAACATGGCCCGCTACTGCAGCGCCTCTTGCCAGTACAGGGATTGGGATAGTCATCATCAGGTGAGTTCTCGCAGCAGTTTGATACCTCAAACAGCGTATTGATAATCCATCTCGGGTCGGTTTACAGGTGTGTGGTAACTCACGGGCCACCGAGCTGAGCGCCAAGCACTTGCATTCGGCCAGCGCCAGCGGCATGCGCAGCGCCATGGCCACCCGATCCCCACCCACACCGACAGCAGCAGCAGCGGCGGCTGCGGCGGCAGCGGTACATCTACAGGCGGCTGCTGCCAGCGTGCGAGAGGCGGCTGTTGCTGGCAGCACAGCTGGAGGCTCTGTGGCTGGGGCTGCTGTCGCTGCTGGCACACCCAGTGCGCTGGTCCCCAACGGCCTGGGCTCCAAATGACGCATTCGCATGATGAAACCCAAGAAGAAATACTTGTGCTAGTCAAATTAACGATCGAGCTCGAATACGATATAATTATAGCCTACATATATAATTATGAGTTTAACTAACGAAAACCTTAACCAAAAACAAAAAGCAAATGGTAGTAGGAGGGGAAGTGGAAGTTGAAGAGGAAGAGAAGAAGACACTGTCAGCATTATCCAAATAGTTTTTAAATGCACACTTAAATATACTTCAAGTAAACGAGATAGATAACATATGTAATTTGCAACTTAACAATTTTTGCATTACATTCGAAACACAAGAGAAAAAATAAGAAAAAATAAAAATAAAATTTGTTAAATGTGTGTGACAGCATGATTTAATACAATTCTTATGGCTTGACGATTTTTTAAAAAAAAATTTAAGGCAGCTGAAGATGTTTAAAGTAGCCATCACGCTGAAAAGTCATCAATTCGTTGATTTCAAATTGCGTGAGCTCTTAAGAAATAGAAAGATATAAAAATAATACAAATATTTGCACCACATTGAAATTAATCCTTTTAAATATGCAAACTATATTAATGGCACCTCTTAAATAAAACTTCAATTCATTTAAGAAATCAAAGCTGTAAGTAGTACTTAGCACCCAACCCAAAAAGCAAGGCGAGGTTAAAGCAAACGCGAATACTTAAACTGAACATAGTTTTTATTATATTATATAATAAACATAATTAATATTATTACTATTACTGCTATCATGAATAATTTATTGATTATATATATCTGTGTGTATTTAAATTATTAATTAGTATTTATTGTATTTCTAAAAACATATTTAACTGTACTTTAAATATAAACAAGCAAATGAAAACCAAAAGCAAATGCAAAAACTGAAAACTAAAATCTAAACTAAATGTTACAACCCACAAAGAAAGGCTAAAAGGAAACCCAAGAAATAAAGTGTTTTAAACCAAAGACCGCTTTTCGATACGATTTGCTGCAAATCGAATCTGTTTCATTCCGATTCGAGGCGATTTCTCGAGCAGCCTAAAAGCAGGCAACAAAGCAGGCAAAACTGCATCAGCCATGAATTGCGCATTAGTGAATGTGAATGTGAATGTGAGTGTGAATGTGAGTGTGAGCGTGAGTGTGTGTGATACAAAACCACAAACTACTGTGATGAAATTTCAATTATCGTCACTCAGTTGCGCCAGCTGCGGGTGTGTCTGTGCGTCTGTGTGTTTGTGTGTTTGGCACACCTGCTGCTGTCGCATTGCATGCAAGCAAAAGCTCGTTAGTGCCTCGCTTCGCCTAGGGGCATGCACAGCATTTGTTGCACACAGACATGCTCTCACATATGCACATGGCTTGTGGCTCACACACACAGGCACACACACACACACAGACTCTGGATCAGCTTGCCTTAACTTTACTTTTGTCTGCAACTGCTGTGCTCTTTTTTGCAACCCTTCACTGGACGCCGAGTGGGAATTGGGTTTGAGTACGTGGCAAGCCCATGCTGATGATGATGATGATGATGGTGATGGTGATGATGATAATGGCATTTTGCTACCTGAGTGATTTTCTAAAGCCAGCTTCAGCCACAGAGCGACAGGCGGGCGCATATTCAAATAGCTGCACGTCCAGCTAACCAGCCAACCAGCCAACCAGCCAACCAGTCAACAGGCAACAGCTTCCTGGTGCTTGCTTCTGGCCAGCATATGCTAACGTTTTGTTTGTTGCTGACTGCAAAGCGCCCACATTGCCCGGTCCCCATTCTCCGTTCTCCGTTCTCCGTTCTCCATTCCCCATTCTCCTCCGCCTCTGCACATCTACTTACTGCCCATTCGTTAGCTTCTATTTAACATGCAGTTATCGTTTGTTATCGCCAGCAGGCACAGCTCAGCCAGCCACAGACATGGACATGTTGTCAACGGCAATAACAGCAGCTTCCCCTCTAAAGAAAACGGATTAAATACCCTGTGTTACAAGTAAGTGGTATATACCCATTTTAATTGCATCTAGAATTGAGTATAGAGGTTTCTTGACACCTTTACTTGATTGATGGTGTTTTGCTTTATACATACTATTTTTGGACATTATCTGTGTGATTATGTTATCTTGAGGTCTGTCCCTCTATAAGTCGCTCCACATGAGCAACAGTTTTTACTATATCTTTACTATAATATGTTTATTGTCTCTTTATTATAAAAGCTATAATCCCAACATTTGATGACTTGCTTACTGTGTGCCTATTATATTAACTTACCATTAAATATATGACAATTTGGGAAAAGCTATATTTTCCAGCGTTATAGATCTAGACCTCTAAGATTAAACAGTTCAGTGGGATGCGTCGAAAATCGGTAAAAACTACAAATTCCAGTGATTCTGAACTACGTCCGATAAATCGTTTACATCTTCTTGCATCAAATCAAAATCAACGTTTAACTTTGCCCAAAATACAGACAGTTCACAATTATCGTCTAAGTCAATGGAAGTTGGCGGCTGGTACTTGGCCTTGATGTTGTCTTTGGCTATGATTGTATAAATTGCATTAACATTAAAAACCTTGAACTTAAATGAGAATTTTAATTAAAATGCTAGCAACTAGCGCTCAATATGCGATGTCTGGCATAAGAAGCGGGATTTGGCGGCGCCTCGACTGTGTCTGACATAAAAATATTCATCATAAGTAACACCCACCAGCAGGAGCAGCAGCAGCAGCAGCAGCAGCAGCAGCAGTAACAACAGCCGCCAGCTGCTCACTGAGTCGCCGTCGCCGTTCCTGCCGCTGTCGAAGCTGGCAGCGACGCGGGCAGCAATTGTGCCATTTCAATCGACATCTGTTACTGATTTCAAAGAAACTTTTGTTGACAACACAAACAAATGCCAAACACAGCAGTAACTGAGCTGGAGAGAACGAGAGAGAGAGAGAATGCGAGCGGGAGAGGGGAAGGGAGAGACAGTATGTTGTCGCCTGGGGCCAATGGGACAAGGTACAAACGTTTGACGCTTGCCTGCGCACGACTCCAGCCGCAGCGCCAAGTCCGGGTCTCACGTGTGCCCGTGCCCCCTTGACGGCCCACCACGACCCACAAAAGTGCCGCACAGCTGACGCTAACGTTATCAGCAAGCAAGTGGCTTGGCCTCGTTCTCGCTCACTTGCTCTCTTCGTCCCTTTCTGACTCCCTATTGTGTGTGTGCGTGTGTGTGTTCTTGTTTTTGTTTTTGTTTTTGTTTTTGTTTTTGCCGGCTACAAACAAAGTTGACTGAGGTTGCCTGCATTTGAAGGCTGTGCAGCAGCAGTAGCAGTGAATAACATGTGCGTGCCCCGTATGGCTGCGTATGTGTGTAGGAGAATGTGTGTTTTTGGCGGCGGCATTGTCGATAATAACGATTTGACTGAGAGGAACGGGGCGAGCGCGTGGTTTATACATGGACGCAGTTAGAGCGCAAGTTCCTGTTGCCGTTCCTATTGCCGTTCCCGTCGCCGTCCCCGTTGTCCTTGCGTTGCTGTTGCCGTTGCGATTGCCAGCTTTTGTGCGCGTAACATGTGTCAATTACAGACACACACACATACACACACACACACACGCAAGCAACCAAACTAACTGTTCGCACATACACTGACTGTTCTCGCTCACCGTCTATAACTCAAAAAGCTGCCAAAAAGTGTGCGCACATTTTTTATACGCGCAGCCTGAAAGTATGCACATATATTTTTTATACGTTTGCCTGCCGGATTCTGACAGCTACGCCCTGGCGACGACGCCAACTGCGCAGCTGCTGCTGCAAATGAAGCGACGGCGGCGTCTGCTGGCGACCGGCTTTATGTTAATTTATTTTGGCATTGGAATTTTTTGTGCGGCAAATTCTTTCCGTTTGCCTTTGTATTTTGGCTATGGGGCAAACGTTTTTAATTAAAAAATTTGAAGTTTTGCTCTTTGAGCTTTCCTTAACAGTGCGTCGACAGTTTCATTCATAATGTCTTATTACATTATAGGTGAACAAAAATGATCAAATTTTTGTTTGAATTTTATATTATTTATATTTTAATAGCTCTAAGCCGATAGGCATTAAGCAATTCTTATAGCTTTGCTTAGTTTACGATAACTTCACCTTCTATTTTCACCCAAATACAGAAGAATTATATTTCTGAATCTGATACAATATCTAACTTTATGCTGTCTGCCAGATGAACTCTCGATTGATCCACAATTGCGTAATGAATAATCAATCAGTGGTAAATTACTTCCGAAATCTATTAACATCAATCTTGAATCTTCTAATTTGGTTTCAGAGTCGTGCTAATATAATTATCGAAAACTTAAAACTGAAATTTTTCACTTATTTATGTCGACAAACGGTCATTAACAACTCACTTAATTTTCAAGCTTCCCCAAAAACTAGCTACATAACTTTTCGAAAATGAATGAAAGTAGACCAGAAACAACTAGAAAGAATTTCCGTGTTACATACTCTCAGGGAGAACAGTTTTATGCCGCAGGTCTTTTAACTTTTCATAACTCAATGGAGCATTAATGATCATTATTGTCAATATTATTACCATTAACTATAATTCATTTATATGCAACTTTGAATGTATTTTTCGGTGTACCAGGTACAGTTTATCGAGGCAGAAGTAACTTAGAGATGGAACATTTCCTAAATATCAAGAGCTAATGCCTCTAATTATATTTTAAATAAATAAATAATTGTTAATAAATAATTTTTAAAATTAAATTGACTGTCAATATAAAAAAATAAACGAGTAAAGAAATATTTTATTTTATTTAATTTATTTTGTGTCGCTAAGATAAGCTCTTCGAGATCGGTTGTGTCGCGCATTGTCAAGAACGCACTGATCTACTACTATTGCTACTTCGTGTGCTAAAAATAGCACAAGTCATAAACTTTCCGGGCGCTGCCTTGTGCAGTGTCGGCAGCTAGACAAAAACAAAACACACTGAGACAAGACTGCACTCGTTGCCCTTTTGGGCTAAACATCTCCAAGAGGGGCAATAAACGCTGTACTTATCATTACATTATAAATCAAAATGGATAGAAACCTTTCTTCTAACCTCAGCTTAGAAACAAGCCGATTGATTATAAGAGAATGTACCGAATAGCTGGTAAAACCCCTTTGGAGCTAAGAACTGAGTTTGATAATAATCAACACCTACCACGTGCCGACTCTCAGAACCTCAGCACGACAGCAACAACAATGTCATTTACTAGTGCTACTAGTAGTACAATATATACCACTGCATCTACTGCAATCTGCAGCGCGATCCCTAGCGGAATCATGGTCCAAATCTCACTGGAGCTGCTACAAAACTGGCTGCAGCCCAAAAAATGCTGAACACTAAGAGGAAGAAACCTCTATCTCCCTATAATAGTTGTAAAAGAGTAAACAGAGATACACACACTCCGCCTCAACTAACATGGCAAAATCCAGCAACAGTTTTGCTTTACTAGACATGGACATGGATGTAACTTCCGAAAGCGATGATGATATGAATTCCAAAAACACAAGAGCAAGTCCAACGTCTGCTTCCATTGCTGATCATAGCAACACTTCTGATGCAACTGATACAGTCAACAACCTCAACATGAGGAACCCAGCAACAACAAACACCCTATCGTTGTGAGTGTCACTGATCTTAATGATCTATTTGAAGTCATTAGTGAAGTCACTAGTATTGACAACGTGGCAGTCAAAGTCAACCATACAGAATTATAGTAAGGGGACTTCCCCATAGCACTTTGAACAAAGAAATAGTTGCCAATTTTTAAAAATATGCTTTTGATGCTCTGCAAGTACACAACCCACGATCAAGGACAAACAGCGATGAAAAACTAAATATATTCTTTATAAATATAAAACCATGCAATAAAATGATCGAAGTATACAATTAAAAAACACTTTGCCGCCAAGTGGTGAGAGTAGAAAGGATGCGCAAAAGTTCTGAAATGATCATATGTACACGTTGCCAGGAATATGGACATACAGCCAAATACTGCCCCCGCCATCCTAACTGTGCACGTTGTGGCGGAGACCATCCCACCAATCTATGCATAAGTTCAAGAGATGAACCGCCTACCTGCACTCACTGTGCAGGTAACCACATGGCAAGCTACAAAGGTTGCCAGTGGTACCAGGAGTTCTATCGACGATCAATGGGCTCCTCAACGATCAAGAAGAACCAAGCAAGGACGCAGCAGACACTACGAAAGCAGCATCATCAACCAACTCGCCAGTAACCACAACAGCTTCCTAATATTTCCAGAATCGGAACAGGTGGTTTATCCTATGCGTCGATAGCAAGAACTGGAAATGCATCTGTTCAGAGTCGCATACATAATATTCAAGCGCAAGTCCAGTTAGCTAAACAGCAGCAACGTGAACAACAACAACAAAACAAGAAAAACAGTTAACGACTAGAACGGCTCGAAAAAATGGTCCACGAAATGGTCAGCATGCTAAGGCAATGGACTGGAGACTCGTCGACTCACCAGCTTCATAACAACGTCTCTGACTCACAATGAACTCACTAAGGGGCAAACCGGAAGAGGACCCAGAGTCATATCGGCCTATAAGCCTAATCCCCTCTCTGTCTAAACTATGGGAGCGGACCATTGCCAAAGACAATCTAATATCTTACCGGATCACCAATTTGGATATCGAGATGGACATGGCACAGTGGAACAAGTTCACAGATTGGTGAAACACATCCTGCAGGCGTTTGATGACTCAGAATACTTCAACGCTGTCTTCATTGACATGCGACAAGGTGTGGCACGATGGATTGCTGTGCAAAATAAAAATCCTTCTACCTGGCCTACTATGGCCTCTTAAGGTCTTATCTAGAAGACCGTGAGCTTAAAGTCGAGGTAAAGGATACAATCTCGTCCACATACTCTATGAAAGCAGAAATGTCGCAGGGCAGTGTTCTTGGTCCGCTGCTGTTCTCCTTGTATACCTCAGATATACCTGGATGCTCCCTCGAAAGCTCTCATTGCCACTTATGCTGATGATGTTGCAATCATCTATAACTCTAAAAGTCTTATTGAAGCAAGCACTGGACTACAGATTGGATTGGTGCAAGCGGTGGAATCTAAAAGTCAACCCGCTAAAAACATTAAGCCCTTGCTTCGAAATATCTTGGAATCACACTGGACAAGCGTCTCACCTTTGGGCCGACAAAAAAATGTCGTCTCAGACTGCAACAACTGCGATGGGTCAACAATAAAAAGAGCTCCTTACCGCTGAGTTGCAAAAGAGCTGTCTGCATGCAGTGTATCCTGCCGATATGGCTCTATGGAGTGCAAATCTGGGGAATTGCTGCCAAATCCAATTACAAGCGGGTTCGGGTATTGCAGAACCCAGTACTACGACAGATAACCACCTCTCCCTGGTATATACGCGGCTCAATACTCCACAGAGACCTCAAGCTGTTTACTGTCGAAGATCAGATTGGAAGACATACAAGCAGATACACGGATAGATTGCAACAACACCGAAGCCTACTTGCAAGAGGTCTAATCCCTGCCAGACCCCTAAGACGTCTTAAACGGCAAGGCTTTGCCAAAACGATGGGAATGCAGTAAACTATCGACTTTTAATTCCTCATAATTTAATTCCTCATAATTCCATATGTATACATGTGTTGTTAAGGTACTAAATTTGATTGTACAGGTTCTAAACTTAATAATAAAAAAACAAAAAATAAATAAAAATAAATATAAAAAACTAAATTATTCTAATTGATGGTGAGTTGGATTTCGTCAAGTTATACAAAATGAAATTTATTATTATTTATCCAAACAAAAAAAAATAACAATTTTGAAAAATACAAATTGCTTCAAATTTGTTTTTATTTATCTATGTGAAAAACCAATATACTCTTTTCACTTCGTGAACGAGCATAAACAATTGTTAAATTTATAAAATCAAAACAAAAATACTCAACGTTGCGTAGCGAGAAACAGAATTACTAAAGAGCAGTACATTTTTATTATGCTCGTTCACGAAGTGTGTATAGAGTATATTAGTTTTGCATATTGTCTGGATACCCAACCGTCTTGAAATGTGGAAAATTAATATGCTGATACAATCCCCGAAATTTGAATATACTATATTCGGTGTAACAGAAAGGCTATCTTTTCAATTTCTCAAATATCTATAAAACGTACAGATATACATATGTTATGTCTAGACCATATAAAAAAAATAAATATAAATATAAATATAATAAAATAAACGAACAAGCATTATGCAGTCAGGCACGCCCGATTGCAACAGGCGTACTGGTCTAATAGTAACTCTCCCAAAACATTTGTACACTCTCGGAATGCTCTCCGTCAGCTGGTTTGACTGGCTGATAAATAAATAGAACCGACAACGCGTTTGTCTCGCTGAGAGAGATCGCTCAGTTGTTGTTAGTTGTTGCAGTCGATTAGAACGTCTTGTTTTCGTGTCGTTTGACGAGTGTGTTGTTGCTGTTGCAGTTGCAGTTATTGACATTGTTGTTGTGGCTGGTGTCTCGAGAATTGTGCCAAAAGTAGGTCAACTGAAAATAAGAACTTGAAAATTTAAAACAATTGAAAGCCAGAGTTTAAAAGTGAATTGACGTCTGATAGACAGCTGACTGGCTCAATCGAAGCCACAGTCAAAGTCAGGCCCACGTAATCATCAATCAGTTATTTACATACGAGCGTTTAGCCAAGTTGCCAACTAAACCTAGTCAGGCACTGCGCGTGCAGAACGGTTTACTGTTTTGTGTGCTGCATACGAAATAAGTCAAGGTCCCCTAGCCCCAGCCCCTAGCTCCATGCCCCATAGCCGATCTCATACATACATATACATTATATGCATAAAAAACACATTCATATTTATATATGACGCGCATGCTAATCGGCACAGCGTACTGTGGTTAAGCTTTGAAATCACTAGACAACATTTTCGAAGATTTAACAGAGTAATACCAATTCTACTAAATACAAATGTTTAGATATTTTCTATTTACGTTTAATGATTTCACATCTTGTACAAAAATATTGATAGTGATACATTATATATATATGTTTATATATTAATGTTCATATATATATGCATAAATATACATTTATGTATAAAAATTATATATATAAAGATAAGAAAATATAAATATTTACTATAAAATTCTACATTTTAAAAATACTTCTATTGATATTCGTTTATTTACTTAATTTTAGAATTTTTCATTAATTGATATAAATAAAAAAAATTAAAAAATAAAAAAATATATTCATAAGAATCTATTTTTTTTTAATTTTTTTATTTATTTTATTTATAAAATTTTGAATATTTATTATATTTTTAATTTGAAAATGTAGAATTTTATAGTAAATATTTATATTTTCTTATCATTAAAATTATAGAAAGCTAAAAATATTTATAATATAATCTTTATACATAAATGCATATTTATACATATATATGACCATTAATTTATAAACATATATACTTATAAATATAAGTTTATCGCTTTTATCACACTGTGCGGGCTCTGCCATATATGGCAGCTTCTCGTGGCAATGAACTTTATGCGGCGCCTGTTGCTTTAACTGTTCACTTGGTACTCGTTTATTGTTGTTGCTGTTGCCGTTGCTATTGCTGTTATTGCCGTTAGTTGATAGCCTTTAACCCTTATGTGAAGCATGTTTGTATAACTGTGGACTCTGCTTATTAATTAAATAGAGTAAATTTATATAATATAATTTCCATCAATTAGAGTTTGTTTGTTGCTATATAAACTCATTCTAATTTCACGCATGTATATGTACTTACCTAGTCCATAAACACCTTTGTTAAGCCATTGTTGTCTGTTATCAAAATGCACTTTCATATATGTGCGCAGCTGTTTTTTGTTTTGTATTTTTAAAAGTGTTTTATTTTGTTTTTGTTTTTGCTTTTGTTTGATAAGTAGATTATGCGCTTGTCCCAGCGATATCAGTTGTGCTTGGCTCCACGGCTGGTTCAGCACCATAAGGTGTTGCCTGTTGCCTGTTAGTAGCATATTGAACTCTAAAATATTCAATTAAAAGTCTAACAAAGAGTAGAATTATTTAAAGAAAGTAAGCGAAAACACTATATATATATATATATCAATTCAACATTGACCTTATGCTGCGTACTTGATATTCAGTCTCTGATATATATTATTAGAGTATTCCACATTCATCAGAATTGGCTTGCCAATGAACAGTTGTTATTTAATTATGGTTAGTTGCTCAGTCCCACAATTCAATAGATTTCAATTAGAAAATAAATATTGTTGACAGAGCTCAGAAATCTTTTATTATATTTAATTTTTAATTGAAAATAAACTATTTTAGTGGAAAATATCTATACAAATCTTTCATCAGTTATTCATACTATACAAATATTTATTGACGATATTTATAATAAAATTAATATAATAAATTTAATATTAAAAACATTTTGTCTTAAATGCAATTTTTTAAAATTATTTATTTCATATTTTTAAGTCATATTTATTTATATTAAATATTTCGTAGAACATATGTTATCTTCACTGTAGTGCTTGTAGCTTTTCACACTTAAAACTCACACATACCTAACGACAGCCAGATTTGAGTAGCCTCGCACTTCTCTTTGGAAACCTCAGCTAGAAACCATTGACGCTCTCAACGGCAGTATCTAAAGCTTGTTAGTTAATCTTAATGTTCATGACAAGTGTATGGGATCCACATTTCTGTAATGTTTGGCAGTAAAACTATATCAGCTCAGGGCAGCCCGGCCCGATAAAAGGTTGGCTAGACATGTGTATGTGTATAGTCAGAGAGATAGAGAGAGAGAGAGAAAGAGAGAGCGAGGGAGAGGGCGAATGAGTGTGTTTGAGTGACGGAGGTTACTGAGTCAGTGCGAGTCGATCGTTGCAAGGAGGAGTATGACGATATCGAGTTAGATTTTATAAAACTGCCAGTTCATATATATTTACTTACATATTCTTTTATAATGAAATATATCTTTGACAAGTGAGCGAGTGTGAGACGCATCCAGATCCTAAGGAGGACGAAAAGGCAATGGAGATATTGCTTGAGCTCAATCTAAAACAGAAGGTGGCCACTCGATTGGGCATACTGCTAGTAGGATGCACCATCTTTGGGTTCTTCTGCTGTGATAGCGCTTTGGCCAGCCTAACACTGGGCGCCCTCTTGGCCCTAATGCTGCGCAATCCCACAAATATCTTTGCATTCGTAATGACCTGTCACAGGGATATCATGTAAGTAAACCATCCAAAGACCATTCAAATTCATATTGGACAAATTCAATTTATAGGGTACTTCAAAATGATCGACTTTCAACTTAGATAGTGATCGTACTTTAATGAAACTTAGTATAGCTATTTCTGGACAGTCAGATACTGTATTGCTGCCGCTCGGATAAGATTAGATCACTTCATATGCCATCACGTAGTACATAGAAGCTCAACTTTATTCAAGATATTTTATTTCGATCGATTTTTACGGATTGCGATCTCATCTATGCCAATGTCAGCTTGGACAGATTTGAAAAGTTAAGCATTCAGTTCTAAATAGCTTGATTAATTATTTTATCAAATTTAAAATTTAGTTTAGGAATATTAAGTACTGAAATGAGAAAGGCGTACCAGTCTGGTGTCTGTATATCAAACCTGAGGCTATGGGATAATGCGTGTTTCAGAAGAATTTTTGAATCATGTTCTTAATAGTCTCAGTATAGAACGTAAATGTTCCTCAGCGAGCTACTCATTTGATTACTATATTTTAACTAAACTAAATACAACGTCCATTCACTAGCTAGGATGTGTGATTAGGTTCCTCTGATTTGCGTTTGATATGACAGTCTTCCAGGCTAAAAGTTTAATGAAAGTAAAATCTCTTGATAGAAAATATTGATACTAAGAATGGTTTGTCATATCAGATGCAATTTTTTTGAAGCTCCAGCTAATTCAGTTCCCTCACTTTGCAGTGCGTTTCAACGCTTCATTGCACTTAACATTTATCTGCTTCGCAAGGATCGCAGCGGATGCATCGTGGCGCAATGCTTTGAGGAGCAGGCACTAAAACATCCGCAAAAGATTTGTTTCCTGATGGACGAGCGTCACCTGAGCTTCGGTCAGGCCTTGCGGTTCAGCCAGCAGGTGGCGGGCTACTTTCAGAGCCGCGGGTTGCAGCGCGGCGATTGCGTAGCGTTGCTGATGGAGACGCGGCTGGAGTACACTAGCCTGTGGCTGGGTCTCAGCCAGCTGGGAGTCATCACGGCTCTCATCAACTCACATCTGCGCGGGGACTCTCTGCTGCACTGCATCCGCGTAGCCAAGGCCTGTGCCGTCATAGTGGGCAGCGAGCTAAGCGATGTGCTGCTGTCGCTGCCACCATTGGAGCTATCCATCTATCAGTACGCGGACGTGGATCAGCATACCTTGCTGCCAGGTGCCGTCGACCTAAGAAGCGCTCTGGCTGCACAAGAGCCATTGCCGTTGAGTCGCCATCCTCAAAGCAATGCTCGGGATAAACTGCTCTATGTATATACGTCTGGCACCACAGGCCTACCTAAGGCAGCGGTCATCACTAATCTGAGGTTTCTATTCATGGCAGCGGGCGCGTTTTATATGCTGAAACTGAATCGAGACGATGTGGTCTACAATCCTCTGCCGCTTTACCATACAGCCGGTGGAATTGTGGGCGTCGGGAATGCCCTACTCAATGGGTGCACCGTGGTGCTGCGCAAGAAGTTCTCCGCCTCAAATTTCTGGAGCGACTGCAGCATGTACAACTGTACCGTGGCCCAGTACATTGGCGAGCTGTGTCGCTACCTCCTTGCGACGCCGTACAAGCAGTCCCTGCAGGAGCCATTGCACCAGTTGCGCCTCATGTACGGAAACGGGCTGCGGCCGCAAATCTGGACGCAGTTCGTCTCTCGCTTCGGCATACCTCAGATAGGGGAGATCTATGGCGCCACTGAAGGCAATTCGAATCTAATTAACATCACAAATCGCGTGGGCGCAATCGGTTTTGTGCCCGTCTTCGGGCGCAACCTCTACCCCGTCCAGATAATCCGTTGCGACGAGCTCACGGGCGAGCCGCTACGAAACTCCAAAGGCCACTGCATACGTTGTGCTGCCGGCGAGGTGGGCCTTCTGGTGGGTCAGGTGGATGCGCGGCGTGCAGTTAGCGCGTTTCATGGCTACGCGGACAAGGCGGCCTCTGAGCAGAAGCTATTGCGCGGCGTCTTCAACAAAGACGATTGCTACTTCAACTCGGGCGACATGGTTGTCTGCGATATATTGGGCTATTTTTACTTTAAAGATCGCACCGGCGACACTTTCCGTTGGCGGGGCGAGAATGTGGCCACCCAAGAGGTGGAGGCGATCATCACCAACTGCATTGGGCTCAGCGACTGTGTGGTTTATGGCGTGCAGGTAAGTCAATCACAAAGAACTAACAGTGCTCTAGTCGCGGATGCTCGACTAGGAGATACCCTGAACCCAGCAAAGACCTGATACTCCCATTGTCCTATGCTTCTTTTACACATACATTAAACACCACACATGGCTGTTTGCCAAAGCACAAGTCTTGAGTATTTTGAAAAATGAAAAATATTGTTAAATAACTTACATATTCTATCGGAATATTTGTTATTTTAGTAAAAATCTAAACTCTTTCAAATATTGGCTACATTTGCAACTGAATCTAAATTTTAGAAATTTAATTTGGAGCTAGTATCCAAGAATAAAAAAAAAAATAGATATCAATCTATATGCAATAATTGGTAGCTTTTACTAAAAAAGGCTTAGGAGATCTAATTTAATGATCGAAATTCGATAATGTTTGTAATAATATGCATACTATATTAATAAAATGCATACTATACGGACTTAAGGACTTCAGGACTAAGCTAAATCGACTTGGCTGTTGCCCCGGATCAACAATACATAGTTTTTGATTAAACTATTATAGCCTGAATTCCCATTTTCAATAGGTTCAGACAACTAAAATGGGGTGACTAAATGCCATCTACAAATAAAGTTTGGCGGATTTTCAGTATTTAGAATTCTAAGAAAAATTCGGACAAATAGAAATAAAACTTTTGCGCTACCATTTAATATCGAGACGATCGGCATTTTATTTATTTAAATTAATTGGTGTAACGCGTGTTAACTAAAAGTTAAAACTGAGAGAAGTTCTAAAGCCAAAATCCTTAAAACGAAAAGGCATATTATTATTATAATAAAATATTATTTTAAATGATTAACAAAATAATACCAAGCATTTGAATTAATTAAAAGATTTGTAAAATGTTTAAAGCAAGGTAAAAACTAAAAGGAAAAAGTAATAAAGATTACCAAATTACTAACTCAAATGTATGCCCAATGCGCAATATCTAGGAATTTAAGTTATAATTGTATTGCTAAAATGCTGTCCGATCAGTTGCAACTATAGAAAATATGTGAACTATACAGCTTCACTAAATTTGAAAAATTGCATTCAAATCCAAAGGTATTAAGCGAAAGGCTTAGCCAATTGTTTTTCTTTCCTATTCATTTACGATTAAATTAAAAAAAAAAAAAAAATATATATATATATATATATATATATATATATCTATATATAATATATATATAGATATATATATATATATATATATATATATATATATATATATATATATATATATATATATATATATATATATATATATATATATATATATATATATCTAAATTTAATTAAAGGCACTTAATTTAATTTAAATCAAAATAGTTGTGTGCGTATTCAAGTTTGAAGTACATACATTTTATTATAACTGAAATTCTTATTTTCAATCTGGAATTTTGATTTTCTCAATAGAGTAGACCTGCGATATGAATTCATTGGCCTTTTAGTGTTTTAGAGTCTTGAGCTGTTTAATGATTGTTAAGCTTTCACAATGATCCTCCGCATTGTATCTTCCTCTTTAAGCATAAATAAACATTCACTCAACAATTTGAATTGCAAAAGGCTTGGCTAGTTAAGTAGTATTTCAACATGACATTAGTATGCACTGCAATATATTTTCATTTCCTATTGCAGATACCCTATGTGGAGGGCAAGGCTGGCATGGCGGCGATTGTAGATCCTTCGAGGAAAGTTGACATAGAATATCTGTCTGTTGGGATACGCGGAAGCTTGCCGCCCTATGCGCGACCTCTATTCATTCGGCTGCTGGACGAGATACCACGCACAGCCACCTTCAAGCTGAAGAAACGGGAGCTCGCGCTAGAAGGCTACAATCCGGAGTTAGTTAAGGATCCCATCTACTTTTTGAATCGCGATGGCATCTATCGGCAGCTCAGCAGGGAGCAGTATGCCTCACTGCTGGCAGGAACTGCAGGCCTTTGAGAGGGTCCCAAAAGGGCTCCCGATTCGTTCCTTACACTTAAGCTTAATCTAGCTCATGTACACAGCCATTCACACCCATTCATATCTGTTCATACAGTTACTCGCAAATGTATTTTAACACTTAAAAGAAACGACTGATGAAACTTTAGCCAAAGCCGAGCGCGTTTCATTCCCATAACTTGGCCATAAAAATGGCAGCTGAACCGATAATGGCCGCCAATACATTTCCGGTGGATGCAACATGGTGGGGCACGCAACGCCATGGAGCGACCATAAGCAGCAGCACACAAGACAGCGCCGGCCAAGATATATCGAAAGTGTTAAATCCCCAAGATTAAGTTCTCGCTCATTGGCAGCTGCTGTGGCCGTTTTGGCTGTTGCTGCTGTTGCTGCTACAGTTGCAACATTAACGCCATTTCCGTTCGCTAGCGCCAGCTGCGACGCAACAACGGCGACGGCAAAGCCAACAACGTTTTGCCGTCCTCTAAGATAAACGATGTGCAAAATCCATACAAACAACAACAAAGCAGCTGCAGTCGAAGCTTGGAGTTGGAGTTGCAACCGCAGGCAGCGCTGCCAAAGTCGCAGCCGCAAACATCGCTGCCACCAATATCGATGGCGAAAAAGTTGTGGCAGGCAATCATAAAAAACGAAGAAATTCCAACAAAAGCCGCTACTTCCATGAAATTGGTTACCAGTCGAGCACCAAAAGGGGCTGCCTGCTTGCCGGAGAGGGGGAGGGATGCTCAGGGAGGGCAGAGCTTAAGTTCAGCATACTCATAAAATGTATAGAGACACTATATCATGGCTTTGTGCACCATTTCAGTGTTGTGCCCGGTTTGTTGCATTTAAAACGAAAACATCTCTTTTAGGTCGCTGTCAAAAAGATATATGAAGATCATCCATATCTATCGCAGCTATTGCAGATAGATATTGTGTTAGAGGATATAATTTCCATGGCCTAATTGTGTGATGTATGTGACATTTTGTGCTGCGATATCAATCGATTCCTGTAAACATAGCTTTGTGCCAATATATTGAACCAAAATAAACAAAACACTAAGAAATCAACAAATCAATAGTAATTCAAATTATAAACTATAACAATTTGTATATGCAAGTGTCAACTGTTTGAACTGATCTCTTCTGCTGCCTTCCTTAGTTCCAAACTTGTTTTAATTTGTATTTTATAATTGTTGAACTGTTTCAATTGTTTTGTTGCTCTGCCCTAGATCTACTATTACCAGAGCCAACTCAAGGAGCCCTCATGATGCTTTTACCTATCAATTACCCTATCAACAATCCGCGAATGCGCCACACGCAAACATCCTTGCAACATCAGCAACAACAAACTTATTTCCGCCAATGTGACTATCAAAAAAGCACATAAAGTTGCATTGGCAGGCAGAGCTGTGTGGCAGGGAAAAGCGGAGGATGGGGCACCCACCGGTGCAGCTGCTAATGCCACAAAAGGCAAGTAGTGCGAGTTTTGTCACCGACGTGGCATGGCATTGGCACCAACACCAACACCAACACCAACAACAGTAACAGTAACAGCATCACTGTTGCCCTTGCTCCATGGGGCGTGCTTCCTCAACTGGTTGCATCGTCGCCGTCATAAACAAAATGGCAGTTGCTGCGGGCATGGCGCATGTATAGCTAATATCAATAAAAACAACAACAGCGGTTATTGATGTTGTTGTTGCAACATCGCGTGCTTCGCGCGCTTAAGGAGAAAAATTAAAATATCTTCAATAATTTTTTGAAATGTTCGACGACTCTCGCCGTCCTCTGTTTCACCACCTCTCATTCGCTCTATATTCTACCTTCTTTTTCTCTCATTTCTGCCTCCGTTTCTTCCTTTTGGTCTTTCTCTTTTCGGGCGTTGGCGTCTGGTGGGTGGCGCCACAGCTGCCGTTGGAATTTCAAAGCTATTAAAACACTGCGAGCCGAGCAACGACCAAACGGGCTCCGTGCTCCAGCAACTCTTCATTGAAATTGTACTTGTTGCCAACCAACAGTTCGAGGGGTATATGAACTATTGCACCCAGACTGCAACAAAGGAGTCGCACTTAAGGTGTAAGTGCCTCAGTGGTTCACTTTCAAATAGAAGTAAGAGTGCTCCAGTCGAGGGTGCCCAACAAGGAGATTGTCTGAACTCCGCTCGATCTCGATCGTTTTGAATCACACTGCATATTTTGTATGTATGTATAGAAACACAAAACACATGCACTTACAATATATATATATATATATATATTTATATATGTGTATACATATAATCATCAAAAGCCTTTTTTTAAGTGATCTCCAGCTCGCCTTTTTGCTATCAAAAAGCATATATTTCACCAAAGCCAAAAAGTCAGACTTCGACTTCTACAACTCCTTGACCTCTTTCCTTTATCACCGCCTCTACTTTGCTTACTTACAAAATACCTGCTGACAATACGAACTTTACTATCACAACTGCAATAGAATATTGTTAAATTTGAATCAGGTATGCAAAGTATTGAAGGAAATGAAAATGTAATTACATGCAAAATGTCTAGACTCTACCTCCAAAGATATACGATGTATACGATATGTAATTAAAAAACTGAAGTTCATTAACATTTTTAGCCAATTACATTAAACGGGAAATAGCTATCGATTATTTGAAACAAAGTTGATTTGCTCATTCCGTGCAGGGATGCGGATAGAGGGACTGTGCCAGATAGACTCAGCCTGACCATTAATGTCTCTAATTTGTGGATTACCTCCAGAATACAGGATAAAAATATAAAAATAAGTTGGTAATAATATAAATATTTAAATATTAATGTAGACATTAAGCTTTATCTAACAGTTTGCATAAGTTAATTAGCTTCCAAAAGATTTTTATTAACATTTCGAGCGAGCTGCTGATATCCTGCTTTAAAAATGATATCAGAAAGAGTATACGGCATTCGTTTTGTTGTTGCTGGCTTGGTTGGTTGCTTGTATGCATTTGGGCTTAAAGATTTAGCTTGCTTTTGTTTTTATATGCCACCCAGTCTCCGAGTCGCCTAGCCGCCGCATTGCCCTTTGCCCTTTTCGTAGCCAACGCTGCTGTTGCTGCTGCTGCTATTGCTGTTGTAGTTATTGTTGTTGTTTTTGTTGTTGATGGCAACTGCTCTGTTGCTTTGTCGGTTCGTGCTAATTACATTGCACCTGTGCGTGACGTTTGATGTTGCCCTGTCAGAGCTTCGACTGCTGAATGTCGGCTGTCTCTGCTGTTTGCTGTTGTTGGTTTTTGCTTAGTTGTGGGCGTAAAGAGGGAAAAGGGTCTCTTTGGATTTTGCTTCAGTTGCAGCTGCAGCCTCATAGACGGCAGGAGCAGCATCACCAGAAGCAGTTGCCCAGTAAAAATTAATTAAAAGCCAACGTGCGGCGTTGCAATTAAATTCGATTTGACTCAGGCATCGAAGTTGACGCTGACTGCGCATCGAGCTCAGCTGGGCGGCTGTTATTGACATCATTTAATACAACAATACAGCAAAATAATATTGCACACACACACACTCGCACACACACACACACACACACATAGAAAGTTCATACAATGCAACTGCCTCAGCCTGTGGCCTTTGGTTGCTTTTGTTTTGTTTGTTTTTGTGTTTTTATTGTGAGCTTTCGCATACGTTGGCAGCTGTTGGCCGATCTGCCTATTTGCTGCCGATGTGTGTGTACGTGTGCAGCATGTGTGTGTGAGTGTATTTGAAATGGCTGACTGCCTGCTGTTGGCGTGCGACTGCCTGAGTGAGAGCGTGTGTGTGTCTGAACCTCACGCTGTTTGTTTTTTGGGCTCTGCTTCATTCGTTCGCTCGTTCGCTCGTTCGTTCGTTCGTTCGTTCGTTTTCGTTGGCCCGTTGATTCGTGGCACCTTTTGGATTTGACAGTTTTGTAATTAACTGCAGTCAACACATGCGCCAGCGTCGATGCCAACCTCAGCGCCAGCAGAGCCGCAAGCGACGCCAGCAACTGTGAGCTAAATATGTTGCATACTTTCAGGCTATACAATCGAAATTGCCAATAAGCAAACGTTTGGCATTTTGGTGCGCAATTAGTTTTTTTGTTTAAAACTTTCCTTCGTTGGCTTAATCGGAGAAGCCAGCTGCAGCTGACGTCTTATATATGTATTTATGTACACCTATATATTTTACAGATTGCTTGAGCACAATGGCTTAAATGATTTTTGGGGAAAGAATCCAGTTGTGAATTATTTTAGATTCGAATTATTTATTTATTAACATATATTGATAAATATTGTGGACTGATTTCTAAAGAAATTTGTTACTGCTTCAAATCAAATTTATTATTTAAAACTTATTTATAATTCATCATACTTAGACTTTGGACCCTAAAAATAGTATTGAAAACACAAATATGAAATGGACACCAAAGTTTACCTTTTCAGTGATAAAAAGTAAGAATTTCGCGACCGAGCGCTACGTATTTATTATCCAAACGCTGTTAGCTACAAAACTTTGCTAGATAGATTTTTTTCGATTTTCCACGCCCCAAGAGTATTGTATATATAATTTTTAGTAAGTAATTTGCGGAGATCAACGATAACTTAATTGGTAAATTTTGAGTTTCTAACTGTAGAGCTGTAAACAATATAGTTTTTTAGTTGGCGGGGAATTATCATTTTGTCACGAAGAAAATGACCTGTCTACTTTTTAAGCTAAGGCTGGAAAACTATGGAAGTTACAGAGTATTTTCGATATGTCACACCAAATGGCATAGCATCAAATCTTTAGAAAATATACATTTATTCGATTTGCGAGGCCCCCTAAGATCACAGAGATATTCACTCTATCATTTTGTTCTTGGGCTGTCAACGCGAGTCCAAGTTTCATTTCCCGCTTCGGCACGCAGGCTTAGAGGTATAATCTAAACTTAGTAGAAACGAGAAGGATGGAATATTGTGAAACATGGAGTTAATTAATTTATTAATTTCATTGCTACTATTCCTAGATGGACATCAATAAACTTGAGATACTATTTACTCACATTACTTGGCGTCTTTCTTTCAGTTAAATGCTGAGTATTATATTATCAGAGCATGATTAGAAGATCCGACCATTTATTAAATGTACACAAAAAGTTTACATACAAGATGTAAACGTTTGTTAATATTAAAAAGGCTCCATTTATTCCACATTCGTTTCGATTGTAAACTAACAAAGAGAATTCCCCATTCATAGCCTGCAATCAGACGACAAAGTTTTGCTCTCAGCTGCTGCGACTGGTTTTAGCAGGCGGCTAGCAGAGAACCAGTCACAGCTGGCACTCGAATCGACCACAGGGCAAAGGACACCGGAAACAGGACACTGGATACCGCATACTGGACACACGTGTGTGCCACAGCTTGCTCTTGGACATCGAGCTTTACTTTGGGCTTGCTTAGACTGCGCTTGTCCGACTTTGGCCCGGGGCAGAATTTGGTCCTTTACTATGGCTGCTTCGCCGTTGGTTGTTGCTATTGCTGCTGTTGTTGTTACTTCCGGTGGTGGTGG